GGGGGGGGGGAGCATATTACTTCAGAATCCTTATATGGCCTCAAGGGTTTGGTGCTGTTTAAAGTACTCCATTTTGAACATCTTACCTCAATTGGCATTTCTTCATTGATTTTTATTACAAGTGTCCAAGCAGAGGTTTGCTCTAAGAAAATCTGAGACAAGGGCAATGTCACTCTAATCATCTGACTTCTGAGAATGAAGGGCTGCCTTCAGTTCTGTGAAACTAAAGTATCAATTGCTTTGCCATGGAACAAGACACCTTTTAGACTCACTCCAAAGTTCAAGTACTCAAAACTTTGCTGTTGTTGAAACACGAATTTCACTTCTCATCTTCTCTCAGTACTCCAGTGCAGATTTATGAAGTGGCGTCTGTAAAGTTTTATGCATTACTGTGGACTCAACTACAACTTACTCAACTCAAAACAAGGCTGCAGATGCATTTCATTTCCATGACCGTCAGGCTTACTGAGTTGTAAGTGGTAACATTCATTAAGTAGAGCACGAACTTTCTTCCATCAATACAATAAAATGTAAATTTGGTTAAATTTACACTTATGTCATGAAAACAATGCTGAAACATCACTGTTCAGATCTTAGGCTAAGAAAGTAAAATATATATTATGTAAGGTGCTTCAGATTATTAGGCTAAACATGCGGGTTTGATACATTACAATATTTTATAAACACAGAAAAAGAGGTGCTTAAACAATAATATAAACATTTCCATTTTGAAAACTAAAGGTTTATCAATAACCTAGACATTTGACAACTAGACAATTTTACAGCAGTATTGTGGTAATATTTTGAAGATAACTGAAAATATATATGGGAAAAATGCTTTATTGAAGGCAGTCGGATTTGTAAAAAATAAACCTGCTTTTTCTCTTTAAACTACGTCTGGAATACAATACACCTCCAAACAAACTGAGACATGAATCTATAGTATTGAACCCTGATGATGAGACAAAATAAATGCATTGCTGCTGCCTGTCCTGAAACTATTGTTCATTTGATAGAAAGCACAAAAGGCAAGAATCAAAAGACTTCCCTCAAAGGTTTTTAAATGTGAAAATCAAAATGCTATTTGTCTCAAGCCGTGACAAAATATAACCACCCACTTAACACACTGTCATGTTAGTCACTTTTCCTTTAATTATATGGACTGCTAAAAGGTTCAGTAAAACCTCATACTAACACTTAAATGAAAATTTCACAGCTAAATAAACTATGCCTGTCATACACACATCTATTTCAGAGCAAATGTTCAAGACTATGCAAATTGGGGAAAGAAAAAAAAATGCATTTCCTTCCCAATTAAGATGCAAGGAAGTGAGATTCTCATTCATCCTGCTTCTAGTTCATACTACTCTAATGAGACTCTTACACTGGTCTGAGATGACCGTGCAACAGGCAGCGTTCCTGCATCAGCCAGCACCTTGCACTAAACATACAGTAGTAATCTACTGTGAAACTGCAACTGTGATAACAGCCAGTTCCCTTTACTTATTCCTTCACACGTCTGCACCTCTAGTACTATGTTATATCAACCTGCAGTTAAGCCAACCCTTTTACTACACTACACTTTTAACATATGTTAAAGTTCTTAATTCAATTGTTATACAAGAATGCATGTACAGTACAGTATGTATCCAATGACTTCGGTCAGTGTAGTCAGTAGTCAGTGTAGTTTCCCACTGCTTTCAGCTGGCTGGCATCAGCAGATAAAAGGTCCAATGTGGAGAAATTTGACAGAACATACAGAAGTTGGGGGAAAAAAATCAACAGACACGAGGAATCAGGTATGCATTTGCCTTGAATTGCACTGAAGAAGCTAAAAGTGTATGCGAGCAGGGCTGTAGCATACAAGTCTGTGAGACAGCCCTGCCCTGAACTCTTTCCTTAGGACAGTGGAAAGAGATTCAAAGGAAAGGCTAGACCTGGAAGGGAAATGGTGATGGGGCCTATACAGGTCTGTTGTTGCAACACAAACACAGGTAGCAAAAGAAGACAAACAAAAGACAAATTATTAAAGATTAATTATTTTAAATATTTCCACAACTCAAAACCAGATGTGCTTCTAACCTAGTAACAAAAAAAAATGCAGAGTCTCCAGAGACAACAGCACTACCAAGACATTTGCACTCATTACTGCCAAAATACACATTTGTCATTAAATTGGATTTACAGCATTTCAAGTTTCAGCTTTATTTAACTACTTAAAAAAATAACATGAGGAGCAATTCTGGATCCTGACTGGCTTATCAGTAAGTTGGCCATCAGTAAGTTGGCCAGTCAGTAAGGATGGAATTTACAGCCAGAGAAATGCCACTGTATCACAAATATATATGAAAAGAATACTATAGGTTAAAATTAACATGTACTCTGATTATTCAAGATAATACCATACATATAAAAACACTTAAGTTTGCCATTTTAGATGTGCAGTAACTGAGCTGTGCGTATACTCACTGTTGTGAGTATAGTACGTTTAGTTTGCCACACTGCATACTTAGTTCCTTTCACTATTACTCATATAAATTCATATAATCTTAGGTTATATATCTTTAATAATTCATTTTAATTAACAGGAAACTCAGTTTAATTAAATTTTCGCTTAACAGATGACCTTCAAAGAATGTATCCTATTCATAAAACGAGAGGCGGGCATATTTCATATAGTTCAGAATTGGCCTATAAAAGGCCACAAGGCAGAACTCATGTGCTTGATAAACTGTGCTACAAAATGAGGAACAAAATACACATCTAAAGGAAATAAACGATTTTTTAAAATCAAATTAATTTCAACTGAAAAACGAAACAATATTCAGGAATACACACTTTCTGGCATGATGGTTCACTTGAAAAGAGGATTGGTCGCAAAACTGAAGGAAACGGACTGTAAAAAAACAACAACCAGCTGCGAGCTTTAGGTTTCACTCATTCTTATTTCCCAAGTGTTTTATCCATCCATTTTCAGTGACTGCTCAGTCCACAGGGTAGCGGTGAGCTGTAGATTAACCTGCAAGACTGGATACACCTCGGACAGGAAGCCACTCCATCACAGTGTTCAAATAATTGTTTTTTCAGAAGCTACTGAACATTTTTCTTTGCAATTGCAGAGAGAAGAGAACAATTCATGTACTTAAATAAACTAAAATGTTCCCTTTTAAGCACAAAAAAATAAACATACAGATTAGTAATAGTTCAAATACATTCTTAAAAATACTCACTGTTTAGTGCTATTATGTTATCTGCTCCTGGGTGGTGGAAATTTAGACCCATACGTCCTGTGAAAGTAAATCAAGACCTTATTAGTATAGGAGTCATTCAAATATGTCCCAGTTTACACACATTATGCAACACAAGACTGCAAGTGTAGATACCAGGATATCCTTGACTCCGTGATGAATGGAAACTTTTTACAGAACTCGGGAGAATACGAGACACAATTCCACCACAAGATGCAGATCTGTTTAACAAAGCGTTAGCAGCCCGAGTTATCTCGCATTCATCAAATGGTGAGAAACAAAGCACTTCTGAACTCTTATGGAAATATCTTAAATTTTAATGGAAGAAAAGGAATGTCCAGGTACTGCACAAATGGGCAATTCGGCATTGTGATGAACTGCAGATGAGCCACAGGAAAATAAAGCAGTGTTGGATTAAAAAAAAAAACAAGGTCATACTTCTGTTTTTAAATCGAACGAGACACTAAAATTGGTTGAGAGAAAGCTGGCGGATGGTATTCATCAGATCAAAAAATGATGCTGCATTTGATATATAGTCTTTCAACCTACCTATGGCCAAACTGTTGGCTGTGCACAGCAGCTGTTCCCCCACAATAAATTGTTGCTAAAGCCACATCTAAGTGTTCTATACATGTGAAAGTGCTTGCAGTGCACAGCACCACGATAAAGCAAGGCAGTGCAAGCCCTGAAGTGCCTTCTGGGCTGGGCTGTATGTTCTTTTGGAGCATCACCAGGACGGTCACAGGTAGATCAAGGTGGAGTGGGAAATAAACCCTTAACCTTGCCTAAGTTATTCACTCGACAGGAACACAAACACAGAAAAGGTCACGAAAGTCCAGAATTATTTTTTTTGTTTACTTCAGTGATCCTTCAGTAACAAATCCACTTCGTTACTACAATCCCTTGACTGGTGATCAACATTCACCCATTATCAGAATCAGACCCAGGATCCCAGAGCTGGGACACGGCACAGCTAACTACATAATGATACCATACCACCACTTAGTAATCAACAGAATCCATAAATAAGGCACCTTAAACTACCCTGTTTCTCACGCCTGTGGTTGTTCTGGGTTATAACCGTCATATTTTGAAAGCCACCGGCACCTGTCCGTTGAACTCTCTGCTCCCTGCATTCTGAAATACAATCGCATCTTCTTGCCACCTTCCCAGTGTGCGTGTGTGCTTGTGTGTATGCGTGTATTTGTTGACTGGGGGCACCTTCACAACTTCTCCCCGGGGAAAGGAGATTCTGTTTGCAACTTTTCACTGCATTTTGTGTACAACAGTTCCTTTGGAAAAAAATGCTTTTTAATGTTAAACAACCAACGAAAAATTACACCAAAATAAAAACAGCCAGGTGGCAACCCTATTCTTAAGGCTGAGGTACTGAACCTTTTTGACTCCTAAAATAGCACTGGGCATGTGCCATCTGCTTATTTAGTTCACTGCAGTACAGCGCAGGGTACTGCTTGGGTGACATTTCATCACTTGTCCTTGCCTGCTATTTTGAGACCAGCCATTTTTTTTTTCACCAGTCATCTTCTAGTAAAGAAGGCAGAAGAAATAATTGGATTGATTAAAGTTTCATATAACCTATAGGAATTCATCTCTTTTCAACCCTGCTTCTGTGCAAGAGACAAGACTCCAAATATAAACTCATTTTCAGGAATTAAATCCTTTCTAATCATAAGAATCTGTTAAAAAAATAGAACAATGTAAAATTCTGTAAAACCCATTAAAGTAAAAAGTCCATTACCCCTTATTTATAAAATAATTAAGACTACTATACATGTACCTTTATCATCCAAAAACGTGCTTTTCTTTGAACTGTTTAACCATGTATGACTGACCTTTACAAATTATTCTTAACGATATGATGTTTGAATCTCATTTGAAGGAAACTGATATTTACATTTTGCCACTGCAAAGTGGAAATGACTCAAGTTTTTTTAAAATACTTATAAAACACTTTTTGCTTAAACTTCAATTAATGACAGTGACACCAGAATTGGTGTAGCTAGAGAGACTCATGTAGTTAGAACTACTCATGTAGTTAGAGAGACTCTACAAGCTACAGAAGCTGCATTTAAAATACCCAGAGCTGTTCAAATTCCCAGGATGAGTAGCAGATTGTAAAAAATGGCAATTAATCAGCAAATATTCTGAAATATTACGATGCTACCACCTGGGGGGGGGGGTGCTTATTAATTTTCTGGGGTTTGTCTAGTCAACCAAATTTGTTCTTATCGACAAAAATTGCAAAGTGTATTTAACATCACATTCAAAAACAAAGAATTAAAATACTGAGGAAAAAAACTCAAAAAGGCAGTAGAAAAAGGGTTAGTAGTCAATCATCCTAAGCAAAAAACTAACAGCTTCACATCCAGAGGTTTCCTAAAACCTCTTAATCCACATCCAAACTTGCATTAAAGAACCCTATCAGTCTACTTGGAAAAAATCAACTTGAATTATGGTGGAAAGTCTGCTAAGACAGAGGTGGAAAGTTTCTCCTTCCCAAATAAGAAGAGTTTCCATTTTCATTCCCATATTCCTTTCTGTTTTACCACATGAATGCAAATACTTCAAGCAAACAAAACTGCAAAACCTGACAAGAGTATACACTTAGATTGAGCTCATTAATTACTGTAAATTTGAATTAAAGTATCAGCTGTTTAGATGTCTATACACTGTTTTTCCACAGGGTTCCAGTACTCCCAGTCTCTAATAACAGCCTATTACTGGAAGAAAGGCTGGAAAAACAGCAGTTGGTCATTTAAAAATTAACACTTTTTGATTAAGAATATTAGTTGCATAACAAATGAGCATCACAGAATATCAGAATTAAAACTACACAAATAACTTGCACATTGCAATAAACCATTTGGTGGATGTTTTAAACAATTTAGAAACACTCAGTGGTGTTTTGAGTTCTTAATTTTAATAACTCCAAAAGTGAGGAAAAACATTAGAAGAAAGTCTCCCATCATACATAGTTTAGTATTTGGAATATTTATTTACACATCGACTGGACACGAAATGCTGTAAAATAACTATTTTAAAGAATCTTGATTTGGATGCCATTTTAAAATCGGTTCGGTTCAGTTTATTTGTCATATGCACAAGTCCAGTGAAACGCATATACTTGTCAACCATAAATAATTGCTGAAAGGGCATATTGGATACAAAAATCCCACAACATCAAACAGACAGATGTTCAGACAAGGAGCAACATGTCACCACTCTCTGGCGCCATGTTAGAAATAGGTGCATCTATGGGCAGTAGGTTTTATTCTATATTTAATCACTGAGTTATATAAAAACATTCAGCATTTTAAATTTTCTGCAGTATCTCGGAGAATTGTTAATTCTCCCATATAAAAACTGAAGATGGAAACAGAAATGTCTGGTATGAGACAATGCCTGATAAAATAATTTCACATCCTGAAGATTTAATGTTATACTTGTAAATAAGAGAACTGAATTAATTGTTGTACTGAACAGATGCCAATTTTAAACTGTACAGAAATGGCCAGCTATCAATATTTGTAGCTCTTAGGGAGTGTTCACAATGAATGCTGGTGTTCCTACACAACTTACCATGGCAAATGTTGTCATGTTCAAACATGATTATGTCAAAATAGAAAAAGCTGTAAGAAGTTATACTTTTATTTCTAAATTACTTGTTCTTTTTCATCAGTACTGGAACGATTGAGAACGGCTGCTCCCATGTTGTGTACAAAGTTCATATTGACCAAGTAATGAAAATCACAATAAAATAATTTAAAAATATATATTTTAGTGCATCAAAGGGACATATTTTTCAGAGAGACAGATGAAGACCAAAGACAATGGTATATGAATACGTGATCTGTTTATATCCTGCTCTACAACAGAACGTCAATGACAGCATGTTCAGTGTCTGAGCCTTGAGAAGGACAGGTTTTAAATCATCATTGATGGCACCTTTCAATTACAGAATCAGACACTGGACCAAAAGTGGAAAAATAAATGTTAAAAAACAAAAACAGAGCTACCCATAAACAGTTTTATGCAGTGGAAAGAAGGAACATCTGAATTGTATGTGTAGAAGCTGTTAAGAAAACCATAATGATTTTAAATAAATAACCACAAACAACACTATGACAATTTTCAGATGGTGACAGAATATGCTTATTTTCCTGTCCACCTGCTTGTCTCAGTACAGTCTCTGTTTCTACCAAACCGTAATTATCAGTTTCATGTTGCATCTACTAAGCACACCTGCTGTAAACAAAGTCTACACCAGTGCTGTCCAACTGTAAAGTCTAGCTCTCACAGGGATGTCTATCATTGCAATTAAACACAGCAAAGCAAATTACTCCAGAACAAGCCACTAAAGAGGAACAGGGGGAACATGAGATGATGAAGAGAACCACACTGTCCTGATCCCTGCTGAACAAGGCAAAGCAGTCTGATGTGGGCACGAAGGAACCTTCACTGACCCTGACACTGAGCCAGCTGCCTGGGGTGCTAGGCAACAGCCTTGATGTTTACCACAAGGATGAAAATACAGGCACATCAGTGCTTCTTGGTAACATGTGGTCTGTTGTTGTGGTTTAAAAAAAAAAATCAGCGTGTATGAAAAAAGCCATATTTAGAAGGAAAGTTGCATTTTTAGTCTGCCTCTATTGGTGAGGGTTGCTGCGAGAGCATGTTGAGTTTGGGATATCCTGTTCCTCAGCTAAAGATTCTAGCTCTTCTTGGGGAATTCCCAAAAGTCTTCTGGCCAGTCCAGAGACAAACTCCCCTCAGTGTAACCTGGGTTCACCTCAAGGTCTCAGCCCAGCAAGATATGAATAGCAGGATTCTAACCTGTCATGACCTGGTCCTCTAGGGTGGGCATTCTTACCAGATGCCCAAACCATCTTAATCATCTCATCTTCTACTCTACAGCGACACATGACATTTTGGTCATTCACCTGTCATATGGGACGCTGAACAACCTGCAGACTGAATCATCAAAGATTACAACAGTGTCAACTACATGGCTATTGACT